TTCGGTAAACTGCACCGCGCAACCCGCCCCAAACTTTAGCGAACGAGCGAGTTCCCTTTGATGCAACTTATTCTGTATCTCTGCTGGTTTATGCCCGGAGGTTGTCCGGGGTTCCCGTGTTCGCGGTCAAAACCAAATAGCGCAGTTTTGGCACGGCGCAGTTTCGTATACTGCACCGGCACGCAGAGATGCAGTTGCTCCCACAGTTGCGCAGTGGGTGCCTTATTTATTGCCCGAGTTTCTGTCGACAATCTGACAGGTCGGGGTACAAGACCCCTTCTTCCGACTTTATCAGAGTTGCCGCGGCCCCGAGTTCCCAGGCGTATTTCGCGGTACGCTCTGCGGTCGGAAGAATGCACATTGCACCTGGGATGTGCATCCTCGGAGACAGGATGACTCGTGTCGCACGAAAATTGTATCGTTTCTAGCGACGCATACGTAATCGCTCAGATTCGCTCTGCATCTTATGTTATACGTGTTTCATGATAGTCACGTCTGAACGCTTTATAGAATCGCACATGCTACGCAGAGAATTTACCGGTTACGCGTATAATGTGCAATAACGTTTCTAAGAACGATCGATTTTTCAATTCATAATCGAAGAATAACGATTCAGTTTGAAGAAGATCCAAATTTACGGTCAGCTACTCTACAGATATAGGTAGATTACCGTTACATGCCGGAATGGAAAACTTACCGACGTGAGGATGGGCCGATTGAGCCGTGTAATCCCGTTGAAATTAAATCGCTTGATTTATTCGAGTATTTTCTCTTGCATTGTGGTTCGTATAACGGTAGACATACTTTACACAACTATGCTGGGCATAGTTCATAAACATCATGCAGCTTTTGTCTTTACCGAATTCCGTCGTACACGTTGGATTAATTGCAGTTAATTAATTTTGTTCCGTAAATTGCTCAAGTTGATTTATGTAAACTGATGTCGAAAAGAAAAGTAACTGTAATCATGCGGAAGGTTAATTTGTAATTGGTAAAATTTAGAAACGGTAGAATTTAGAAAATCGTATGTTATTCAATAATCAAATTCTTTCCGAAGTATTATAATAGACATTTTAAAGATTTTTTTTTTTGCGCTAAACATATAATGCCGATGGTATAGGAATTTGCGTAGCAAAATGTGTTCAGCGTGAAAAAATTCTTTGAGAAAAAAATCCGCTTCGAAGAGAAAAAAGTAACTTTTATCGAACAGTGTTATCATCTGAAGATCTAAACTTTTAATTATATATTTTTTTAATTTTTTGAATATGTAGAAAGAAGTTTGTACAAAACTTTTATTCTGTTCCGAATACCTACATTTATTCAAATCTGCTTTGAAAATAAAATTACTTGTGTGTGTTTCTCTCTAATCACAAAATCATATAATTTATCATTTGTTATCTTTACAAGCTAAAACACTAATTTTGATAATACTTAATCTTATTAGCTAACAATGCTTAATTGCAACAGCAAAAATTAAAATAAGTACATTTAATTAATTAAAACAAACGATCAATTAATATTATATAGTTAATGTATCCGGTCAGTTTTCGGAGTCCCGAAATAATAAACCGTGTTATTTTAATATGGAAAGAGGCCTGGAACGGCTAAGCCGGGGTCATATCGAAAATGCAATTTGCCGCGACTAGACGTCAATTAGCTTTTCTCGCAGGAAATCTCGTTAACAATCCTCTGCGCCGCATGGCTCAATATGATTAATGCGGTCGACTCGTTAAGCAGGCTTGGTTAGTTGGCCATATACTCGTACAGTCTATACTCGTTAGTCTCAGTCTTTTTACCCTTTCTGTATCTTAGCCTAGAAACAAATATGTATTAGACTAATTTCACAATGCTCGACTTTATCTACAATAACTCAATTCAATTCGCAGTACTTGAAAGAAAATATTAAAAAGAAGTATCACTAATTAATTTTCATTAAATATTCTATTTTCTTAACGTTGTATCTACTACTACTTATAATTAAATTTGAAATTAAATTTCTATTAAAAGCGGACGTGCTCAGTATCACAAACGCTAGCAAAGAAAACCAACTTAAAAAACTAACTCAGATGGAATTGTTTTATATAAAACTGCACTAACCATATTCTATTTTTCTATTCACCATCTGCTCGAAAAAAACGAGAAAGAATTTAGAGCTAATACATATTCTTCGATAATAATGTTTGAATAAGAAAAAAGTTCAATCCCTTTATACATTATGCTGCCATTTGACATATTTAATGCATAACGGAGTTAACCCATATCGTCTCCTTTCGCGTCATCGCTAAGATTACTATTCTGTGATGGCCACTTGCCAATTCTCAAATCCAACCTGGTCGCAATAATAGAGCATAGCGGCGCGATTGACCTCGTGACCTGACACGTGCATCCGCATCGCTCCAGCGACTAAATTCTTTACGATCAAGCATAAAAAAATGTCGAAGAAAACGTTCCGAGAGCGAACGACATTAATAACTCATTAATAACTAAAGAGAAAGCCTGCTATTAATTGGACTAATTATAGACCGACGTTTTTCGAAGAAGTAAGTAATAATACAGCAAACTTGCACTTACGTTGGCTGTTAGTTTAGCCTCAAACGCGCGAGTGATTTTCTGGATAGAAATTACGGTATATTCTTGAGAAATTGGAAGTTTAAATATTTATATCCGCCAGCCAAACAGGTACGTACCGCGAACTTTACCGATAGAAGTTAGAATCGTGCGCAAAAGATGAGAATCATAATTTCCGTAGTTGTCTTATCGGCCGGATTTGCGGGCGCTCGATTGCACAAAGATAATTCATTCAACGCAAGTTCAACGCTGTTTTCGCGAAAATTAAGGTTTTATTTGATTCTTAATCCTCCAACGGAAGTATTCAACGAATTTTTCGCAAAAAACAGTTGCGGATATTTTATCAATCACCGCATGATCATTTTTTTCCATGAAATGTATGTAAGAGATAGTATTAAATTTTTAACAATCAAAAAAAATTTTAAGTTATAAGGATATGTGTGTGTGTGTGTGTGTGTGTGTGTGTGTGTGTGTGTGTGTGTGTATCAGGTGTATAGTCTTTGCAAAAAATAATTAGAATTAAAAATTTATATTTTCCGCATTAAAAAAATGAATATTATATATTACATATTCATTATATACGGATATTATATAATAATATAGTATAAAAGTTCGATAAGATCAATATGCAGCAATTTTATAATTTGAATAAAAATTTTCTCATTTTATCTTTATTTTTTATAAACATATATTATAGAAACAATTTTTGATCCTGGTTATGGTTAGTGGCAGGTTATAAATTGTCAAACTTGTATTACTTTTAAATGCAATATAGAAATATCTATAATTTTTTCATAAATTTTCATTTTATTAAAAAATACGTGTAATACTTCGTTAATAAAAAAAAAATCTATACAATACATTAGGTACAAGATTCGTCCCGATCGAGTATGGCCCTCTTCACTCATTTGTGTTGAATATCAGTTCATTTTCACTCATTAATATTTAAAAATTAATTATAAAAATTATATTATCTAATTAATAATACATATGTAGGTATAACTCTTGGATGGTCCATTTTTAGAATTAATCTACATTAAAGCAAAATGATCCGCGACGAATTCCTTCCATCTAATTTTGCAGACTCAAATCGAGTTGGGACCAACGTTAAAGAACTTCAAGAATAAGATCAACGTCCTGCTTATTCTCAGTGCAAAGAGCATCCATAAAAGTCGGTTGCGGCCGGCTCCTGGGAGTGAAAAAAATCTCGTTTGCGCGACTTAAAACGCGACGGTGCACGGTGCAAAGTGAGTTGCAGTGCTGAAAGTGCACTGTCAAGATAAATGAATCGTAAAAAAAGATGTTTACCGCGACGGCGCGTACCGCGTTCGTTTATTATTCGTTGCTCCCGAAGAGCCGCGTATAAGGTCGCGAAATAAAGATAAATGTAAATTGAAAAAATGCCGAGCTCTTCTTCAAACTAAAGTAGGTTATTTTTCTACTTTCTCTTTAATTTTCGTCGCTGCGTAATATCACACTGAATATTACAAGCGATATTGCACAAGCAAACATATCAAATGTACCATCTATTATTTATTTCAGAGACGGAAAGAGATTTTTTCAACATTGCTGCTTAAATAAAAATTTTATGTAATGTCATGAAAGCAAAATTTAAATATACTTAAATGTATTTATCGTACTTTATATGAATAGTAAAAAAGATGCATCATTAGTAGTTAAATATCAAATGCCATAAAAACGAAATATACTTGTACTTTAATAAATTAAATATTTAAATAGCTGCATCAGCCTAATGTTGAAATATCGCAGATAGTACCGCGTGAAGTAAAAAAATAAGTAAATATTACTCTCCCACTTGCACATTGAATCTTTCTTGAATTCATGTTAAGAAGTTATATTTCTACAGCTAATATATCCATGTCAGAAAATCTGTTTGCTGCATAATATGTTGGCACGCAATAATAGGAATAATTTGAGAATATTTGCATTTATAAGACGCCTTTAATAAAGGAATATTTATAGTTTGACTATTATGCAGGTTCCTGTAATGTATGATGTAACGTTTTTTAATTAGATAATGCACAGTAACACTACTTGTTTCTATTTCTTCTTTTTCATATATATTTGCGTTAATTTAATAATTATTAATTTGATAATCTGTATAATCATAAATCCTCAAAAAACCTTTTTTTACAATAAATTTTTTTAATCATGCATAGAAAATATAACTGAAATGGAAATATAATTAAAATGGAATATTTTTCTATTCAATGCTAAATGTAAACATTTTTTACTTATACTATACAGTTGCCAATTTAAAGTTATAATTTTATTATTCATGATCCCATTAAGAATCTCATTATAAAAAAGATTTCCATATTATTATTTGAATGTTTTTATTAATATCTTTTGATATCTAAGTATTAAATGATATCATTTGTTATAACTTTATGATCTAATATCTGTTACAGAGTTTACGCAATATGGCGAATACGACAGATGCCTGTGAAACTCGCGATCCGTGTCAGCACGGTGGCATTTGCATTTCTACAGACAGTGGACCGATCTGTGAGTGTCGCACCGGCGATTATGAAGGCGCATATTGCGAGAAAGGTTAGTAAATCTAAACTTTTAATAGTCTGAATTTTTAAATTAATTAAAAAAAAACAGTTATGTATTACCAATTATATTTTGTTAAATATTATCTTTATATTTATATTATATTTTGCTGAAAGGACTTTGATATTATGTTTGAACTTTTTCAATTTTTTAAAATCAAATCGATATCAATATACAGAGTAACAAAAAAGTTTGTGTGACAAAATTTTGTATGTTTGTCAAATTACACAGCTGATTATTTGTCATCGTTTTGATGTCAAAACACTATAATAACGTATATTCAAAAACAAATTCTGAAGTGTTAATATTACTTACTGTATCATATTATTAAATACCAAAAAATTTTCATCTCTTGATGAACTCAAGATCTTTATTTAGCTGGGAGACTTTATAATGGCTTTTATTATATTTTTCGTATTTAATAATATATTCCTAACAGAGAATTCAAAGTTTGTTCTTTTGAATGAAATATACATTAATGATCCGATAAACACAAAACTTTGTGGCCAAACTTCTTTATCATCCTGTAAATTGCCATGTTTATATATTTATCGTTAACTTACATTTAAAAATAATTACTTTAAAAATACCATGACACTAAGTAAATATGGATTAAATTACTATCTTTTCTTACTTATTTGCGAGTCAAAGTCTTTTTATGATTAAAGGAGCATAAACTACTCAAAAATGTTTAAACAAGGAAAAAAGAAATTAATTTTTTCTATGCCATTCTAAGGATAATGAGAATAAAGCAAAATCGCTGATAAAGATATGAAGCAGAAACAAGAACATTTTCATTGTTTGTGTACATATAATTTAACTGAGTAGAGATATACAGAACGCGAGTGTGATGTAGCAGATAGCGCACTGTCTGATATACTATTAGAGATCCCGGGCAGAACCAAAAAATTTTCATACACTCGTAACTCCTCTCGGAAGGCAATGGCAAACTAACTAGTATACTTGCCTAGGAAACTTCCCTACCAAAAATTGTCGTTTGAAACGGCGTTTAAACTGTAGGTCCCCATTGTATACATTGTGTACGATCAGTGTACGCGCAAAGATATACGAGAGGGCTGAGGGAGGCACTTACACGCTGAGATAGCGTATGGCACTTGAAGAAGAAGAAGAAGAGATATACAATAGCATTCGTTACCAAGCTACTTAATACGAGTATACAGTTTTAATCAAAAACATACACAGAACTTAATAAATAAATCGTGATGAATCGAACAAGCTACTATTTACAGATTAAAAAGATTTAGAATATTATTCAAGACGCTTTATTAATAAAATAAACTTAAAACGTCTTCGTAATTATAATTTATAAATGATGAGAGTTTAATTATTTCTATAACAATTTTAAATTGTCGGAATGCACTACAATTTATTAAAGATGTTTCACATTTTTCGTCAAGACTGCAATTTTATTTTACCTTTGATATTTATCCATACAAATTGATTTTGTGTGATTTTGATATTACTTTCAAGCAATCTGCGTTTCACTTATTTATAATCTATCCGTAACACTTTTTCACAACTTTTGTGTCCTTCGATTTTTTTTTTGTGACCGATAATTTATTAATAGATCGCATTCAATTAAATATCAATCGCTCACTCAAAGTTCGGTAAAAATGGAAGATATTTTCTTCAAATATTCATCATTTCTCTACATTTTACATTCTGTCACGTAGCAAACGTATTACGCGGTGTGCTTTGGGTGTTGCCGTTTTTATCCTCTTTCTCATATTCCGCTCGATCGATCGTTACCTTTAATGATAAAACGCTTGGACGCAACTATACGTTGGGTGTGCATTTCTCGTTAACTCCTACGCGTATATTCGCGAAAACGCGCGTCGTCTAATGAGGCGTAATTGTCGACAGCTGCAGAAGTGAGATGATGTTCCAGAATGATTTTTCCTTCTCGTAAGCCATTGGCAATTAGAGAAACCGAGCAAAGTCGGGGTCGTTCCAAGACGTTTCACCGATAATTACAATCAGACTTCTTCCCCGTTAATGAGGTGCGCGCACAAGGAGGTCGTTATAGCGGAAGGGATTTGAATCGCGAATGTGAAAGGCGAAATAGATATGCAAAAATTTATTTTGCATTTGTTCTTGTCATTTGATGGCTAAAAGAAAACTCAATCGTTGTAAAAGAAGATTATAAAATCAATATTTATTTATGGAAGCGTCCGCGTTGTAGAAACGTATTGAAATTCGGATTGAAATTTGAATCGAGAGGATTCATTTCGGAATGGATTCTCATAATATTTTTACAATAAATTATAATTCTGTGTTTTATATTACAGCAAATATTAATTTCAATCAGTTATAAATATTACAACTGACTTCTCAAACTCTTCTACGCTTTCTAATATCATCAAACATTATTTACAATAAAAAGAGAAATGTATTATTGTAATTTATAAAATGTGTCCTTTTTCTTCTTACAAAATTTAGAAAGCTGCACATTCGACAGATTTAATAGCGAAAAGCAAGATTATATTTCCCGTAGATAAGCAACATACCGGATCTACTTTAATTGCGATTTACTTTCTGCGATAAAATTTTGTATTTTCTCGAGTTTTCATGTGGTTCACAAAACGTTATTTCCAACTATACATTAGTGGTAATTTTACTACTAGCAGATTTTCCATTACTGCGCGTGACAGATGTAGGGTATGATATACGGTTTTAAGATATGTATATTTATGATGTAAGTTACTGTAAATCGTGTTAGCGGTAAATTCATGTGGTCTCGCATAACAAATAAATATGCAAATTATCGTTCAGTTTAAAAAACTTAATTAATTATATATTCTAACTTTATTATGTATTATTATGTATTATTATTCTTTCTAACAATAAAAGAAAGTATAAAAGTACATTATATAAAACTGTTTTTAAATAATATTCAAATTATACTTGATTTCTTCCTTTCATTACTCTTGATGCAATAAGTAAACGTACTAAATAAAAATTAGTTATGCAGTTCACAATATTGAATTGAAAGTTTACTATAGAAAAAGAACCTCTCTTCATACCGCGAATAAACAATCTTCCTTTATCGAAAATTTCAGCGTGGAATGTTTATTCAAAGCTTTATTTCACTGATAATTGCGAATCTTTGCGAACTCACGGCCGAGTCTTTTGTCGCTACTGAGACATCGTCCAGAAGAACGCGAAACTTCAAAGACGATTCTTCGTAAAGGAACCAGGACAATTTCATTTTAATTCCTCTCTTAACAGCTTTTTGCAGGCGCGATTGTCCTTGTCGTGTCTGACAGGCACAGTCGTTATACGCGATATAATGTAATTTCCAGCCTTAATGACCATGTTGAAACGAATAGAGGAAAAAGGAAGAAGGAAATGGGAGGAGGGAAAGCAGAAAGGGATGAGTGTTACAGACGCGCAAGATAAAATAGCGAAGCTAGAAATGAGGGTTGAAACACAAAGAAAAAGGAAGTTCAGAATTTATTAGGGTAAAAATAATCAGTCTACCGGGATTTCTTAACAAATATTGAAGAAAATTGAATACTACTACTGCTGACAGAAAGGCTAAGAAAAAGGAAGGAATATGTATATACATAAGAAAGAAGAAGAAAAGAGATTCGACGGCTGATATACTGCATTGCATTGCACAACAAGCCTATACTTAATATTGCTTAAAGTAAGTCGTAATACTGAATAGTATTTGAAATGACTTTGTTTCAATTTTCCGTAAAAAATAAAAAAATAAAAAATAAAAAATCGAGAGACTAAATGTTGAGTGAATATACGAGTAAAACAAAGTACGATAAACCACTCGTTTCACATTATCTATTTCAAACAGGATAATCAAGAGTTTATTTTCGCGGCGAATCGTTATCTGGACAAAGTGATTCAACTTTAACGGCATTTCGCACGGAGAAACTTCGTTGTTTAACACTCGATATTCGCGCAGCGTGGAGCTGCCGCTAGGAAAGCAATTTTATAACAATTGCAATCGCGTGAAAGTTTTTTCAGCATTTAAATTACCGAGCGGCGCTCCATTGGTTTCTTTCCCTTTTTTTATAAAAAATACATAAGGATCTTTTCACGAACGATTGACGCATGGTTCAGTTCTTTACTTTCGTTCTTTCTTTCTTTCTGTTCTCACATAGAGACATGGAGCACGATGCTGCCCACGGCGGGTGCTGACGATTACTGGGCTTGGGATTACAGTGAGTCTCGCTAATTACAAAACCAAAGTATCCACAATAACGTGATGCAGTGGTGGTAGAGATATGAGTACGAGTAATCAGTAGATGGTAGCTCTAGTTAAAATGTTTCCATATATAGATATCCCCTTGGATATAATCGAATAGATTCTTTATCAATGCGAAATTGAATGCAATGACTTAAGTAGCATAACACACAACTTGCAGATCAAAACTAATCGATAATATCAATAATAATATTATTAACGATTTTAAATATTTAATTATATGTTTTTATTATGTATAAATATATTCGAAATACGAATGAATTGTTTAATAAGTTAACAAGTTAAATAACCTTTATATTATTATGGCAACAACCATTTAGTTATTATTTATCCACCGATATTTAGAATTATTTAGGTGCGTATTTTATTGCTCTTTGTTTGTACAGAAATCCGTTTAAGTGAAATTATAGTTCTCCTATGTAGTTTCCTATTGTGCATTACAGAAACAGAAGATCTTTTAATATATTAAGTAAGATTTCTGTAATGAATGTAATCGTTAAATTTCACACTCTATCTGTTATCTCACTCTTTCTAATTTACATATTATTACGATTTTATACTTCAAAATAAATTAGAAAATTTCTAATTCAATAAAAAAATAACATTAATATTTAATAAATTATTTGCAGCTAGATGACAATGATAAAAATGTTAATTTCAAGCGGGTTCATAATTAAAACAAAATTTGGACAAATATTTGCCATCTATGTCCAAAATACAATATAATACCATCAAATATCATAGTTGACGATACCATTAGTAATTAATAATGTGAGATCCAAAACAATTAATGAACCTTTAGCAATTAATATTACTACCAGCATGAATTTTCAATGTTCTTTACACACATCTTCATGAATTTTAATATTATGATTATAAATATCCCGCTATTATGTTGTTAATATACTATTATGTTGTTAATATACTATTTCGGAAAATTAATTTTAATATTATACATTAAAAATTTTTCTTTTGTTATTTAAATATTTTAATATACTTGACATGTAATTGATTAACTTTAATATAATTTATATAAAAATCCCTTTTGTTCTGCAATAAAATTTTAATTTGAATCTCATATTATTTTATTTTGAATCAAGTGATATTTGATATATGTATAAAAAATTATTTAAAAATGGATAAGCTATGGAAAATCAGCATAAAATTGGCATATTTTAATAATAAATGCTTCATAATTAACGCCCTTCATAATTCCTAATTGAATAAATTAATTGAAATATGTAAGATAACTATAAAATATTCTGTACTTTTAGAGAGGATATATATTTAAGATGTATATATAAAGATCTTCTTTGAATATTTCTTTTTTATTATCTAATATTTTATCCAATACTTAAATCTGGAAAAAGAAAACCAAATGCAGATCTCAAATTCTGTCTTAACAGATATTTTGAATAGGAATAGAAGAGAAAGAAATAAAGAATCATAATTAAAAATTAAATTAAATTAAAATTACAATACTTTCTGATATATATACAAAAAATAATAATTTATATATTTATTTGATATAAATACACAAAAAGATTCATAAATATCTTTTGATTTTCGTCATTGATCAGATATGAATAGCATACGAATTAAAAATACATAAATAGAACTTTTATTTTTAAGAAATATCAATATATTTTGTCATGATTTTAATTTATTTATTTTTCTTATTCTTCTATTTGTCTAAGTAATAATTTATTAATCCAAATCAATAAATAAATAATAAATTCAAAACTTTAATTAATTATTTCTGACGAGTAACCTGATTAAATTGATCAAAAGATATATCGATAATAATAAGCTTCACAAGAGTCAAACGTGTGCATTCTTGCATGCACAATAGATTGATAGTTGTATAATATTAATGCTAATCTGCCCTAGCCCATCCATTGTGACAATAGATCTATGTTATAACTATATAATATATATAATATATATAATATATATAATATATATTCTTTCTTTTATGCCGTTTAATTTATAATATTAATAATTACAATACTTTTTTAAACGTAATAATATAACATATTATGTATAATATAAGATACATAATATGTTATATTATTACGTTTAAAAAAGTATTGTAGAAAAAGTATTATACATATTATGTATAATAAAATATTAAATATATCTAACACAGATTTTTACATAGATCCACTCTGTCTCAATTTAAGATAAAAAAGTTTAAAAACTCACTCAGATCTGATATGCAACAGCGGAGTTGTTGAAACGTTGACCTGTAAATTATAAACACATTCAGATTATAATAATAGCATTCCAAAAATTAAAATTAAACATTACTGACGCTTAGAATTCTTATTTTTTAAATAGATATTTAATATCATAAGTAGATACTTGATAATTAACTTTTATTAAAAAATGTATTTTCTTAGGACATAAAAAAATGTGTATAAATATGTTTTTTAAATTATCAAAAAGAACTTTTAATACTACAAGTAGATACTTAATGGTTCTATAACTTTCCTTGAAAAATTATGCATCTTTTCCTTGGAATATATATATAAAATTTCTATAAATATTTGATCAACTATTTTCCTTAATTTGTTTCAAAACAGCTGTTACACACTCTCTAAATTCTTTGAAATTGAGATCTCACTTTAAAGAGTGAAAATTGAGCTTCTTGAAAAAGTGATTCGATTTTCAATCTTTAAGAGTCAGATTTCACTCTTCAGACTCAGAGTGACATTTTCATTCTAAAAGTTTTAGAGATCAATCACACGAAGTACCATGAAGAAAATGAGTCAGTAATCATCGCAAAAACGAATTATCAATTTTACAGATAATATTGTAATAAATAAACAAATAAATATTACTTACTACAGGGTTGCTCCGCCGTCGCCAGATGCCCCCCAGGCCTCCTCCTCCTCTCAGATTTCCTCGTCGCATTAAGTACGTCGCACTCGCGAAAACACAGTTAATTACTAAAAAGTTACAATTTATGGTTAATTACTTAATTATTTCACGCGCGATAATTATAGAACGTGATCGTGTGACACTTTAAGTTTTCTATAGCTGGTATACACTTTTGAAACTTGTGAAATAGATATGTTTAATATTTAACGAAAACGAGAAAAAAAGTTCTGATCTAATCTAGTGCAGGAATAAAAAAACATCTCTTGTGACATTAACGTTAATCGCGCACGAAACACACTTAATACACAAAACACACATAAAAAACATGTCGTTTTTTCTTATTAAAAGCTACAACTTCATCGATTACCGCGTCCGGCATTGTTCCTCATCGCGCGGCAAGGTTTCTGCGTTTCGTGTGCAAAACTGCAGGAGCCAAAACTTGTGGCGTTTCCCGCCCGCGCCCGCGCCCGCGCCCGCGCCCGCGTCCCGAATGATTACAAAATGGCCGATCCATCGCGTCGTCAATTTCAGACGCTCCGGCGACACTGCGTTTCCTTCCCACATCCAGCGAGAAATGATTTATCAAATTGATATCGAGTCGACGAATCATTACGACGTAATATCAACGAATTCGCCATCAATTAACGTTGATTCGACGTTCAATTGACGATCATTTGTCGGATAATTGTCCCGTTCCTTCCGAATTATTTTATGGACGCAGCATGCATGCTGTTGCGCTTTAGCGTCGAGATTATCGCATCGAGAATAATATGTAGATACGAGTAAATGCTAGTCAAAATGCTATAGGGGCAAATATCCGTGGAGTGCAACTGAAAGGTGATTATCGAATCGATCGGCCGACGAATTGCAGTTGGACAAATCTCATCGAATACCGCCACGATACATCGTCCCGGTATATTAATGCCGTATTTATGCCGCTCAGTTAACAAATATTGAAATGTCGGGACTAATTCCGACAAATTACTCACCAATTAAACAAGTTACGACGCCCCGCTCGACTCGATCCGCTCCGTGTCCGCGACGCTGCGTAAATGATCGAGAAAGTACGAATCTTGCTGACTTTACTGGCAACGTCGTATATACTACGCGTAACCAATCAGAGGCGTCACGCGTTTTCCGTTACGCGGAACTCAATTTTCACGAGCATTTCGACTCATTTTTCACTTTCCATTTCGACTGCGTTTGAAAACTTTTTATCCGAGTGTCCATTGCCGGCATTCACAATTATGGGTCTTCTATTATACAATAAGCCATTAGTAAGTCATAAATTAGAAGTCAGAAAATTGACGATTGTGATTGGTCAGTTTTTAGCTTTTGATTTCTGATTTATGACTAATGGTTTATTATAAAAAGCTCATAAGACTTCAAATTCAAGGCTTCCTTAAGTTTATCTTTAGATGCTCTGTAGTCGATAAAATTAATAATTCGTAGAATTATATATATATCTAAAGATCAATTTAAATAAATCTTAAATGTAAATCCTGACTATGAAACGGGCACTGATCATTCTACCTTTATTAAATATAAAACATGGTAAAATGATACTCGGGTGAAGTTTTCAAAAGCAGCCTGATGAAACGAATCTACACAAGTGACATTTTATCCTTAGATTTGTTCGCGTTGTTCGAAATTCTTCAAAATTTTTGTACTTAAAACGAAATAAATATACTATGTGTATATCTTTCTATTTTATTTTCGGTACGATAAGTAATTAATTCGGCCACAAAGAACAGACCAATGATGCACGCGCGATATACTTTGAACACATAAATCCCGCTAAAGTATGCGCTATTAAACAACCGACGTATTATGGCTTTCCGTTACTTAAGCCCCTCGATTCGAGCAAATCGCGCATTAATCCGTGCTCGCGGTTCGAAAGTATCGGAGGCGAATTACGCTTATCGACGGGAAGCTCGGGGGGGAAACTTAAACATAGGCATCGAGGAGAAACAATATCGAACGAAACAACTCTCGTTTCCGAGCACTTCTCGGTTTCTCTAAGACGAATAAATGCGTGTGAAATATCTGCTTGAACGAATAGCCGGCGCGAGC